GCTAAAATATCAAATTATTTCATTTGTTTTAAATAATATTTAATTAAAAATGGAGCATTTTTTGAAGGGATGCTCATTGTCCAGTGTTTTAATGACAGAGTTTTACACTAAGATCATCTTTTGTTGACCAATGAATTGAATTTTCATCAATCAGATTTAATGGATGGATGGATGGATGGATGGATGGATGGATGGATGGATGGATGGATGGATATAGATAGTGGTTCATGACGTATTTTGCTAACAGACAAACAAGAGCAACTCCAATAACCATCCTGCAATGTTAAACGTACAGTATGTATTGTGGATGACTCTCAGCTACTACCACGCCATGTTTTAACTAAATATTTGTAACACTGTTTGAGTGATGGCCATATTTGTGTTTTAGGGTCAGTTGGCTGTGGATCTTGAACTAGACCGAGTCCGAAAGGTAAATCGCTTGTTGAAGTACAGTAGTCCCTCGCTACTTCGTGGTTCAACGTTCGCGCACTCGTTCTTTTGCGTTTTTTCAATGATTGTCAACTTTAATATTACTCATGTGATTGGGACATTATGGGATAAAACGTTAACAAAAAAAAAAACAACTTCGGACAGGCGTCGCCATTTTGTAGTTTTCATTCAACAAGTCAGTCAAAAAAGAACTACACTACCCAGAAGCCAACAGTGCTTCCGGATGCTGCTTTCTGCCGAAATGGAAGGAAAGTTTTGCAACGTAAATCTCTGCTATCTATGAAGCGCAAAGAACTGGCAGGAAAGTCGCAAATAATCTTGAAGCTCAATTATCCACGTGCACATCAACCTGGACGGTGCGGTGGGCTTTGTCGCTGCAGGGTAGGTCTGCAGAACCAGAACCGAGCTGCTGGTCTGCAGAGCTGGTGAGTAAAATTTTGCAGTACATGTTAAAATGACATAGGTTTAAGAGTTTAGAACATTGAAAGAGTGTGGGAAAGGTTTATAAAGCCTTAAAATATATAAAACTATAAAATAAATAAAGCGTTCCGACGTTGCGGTTTTTCACAGATGGCGGGTGTGTCTGGAACGTAACCCCGTGATAATCGAGGGACTACTGTATATTCAATGATTTATTTTTTTTCTGAAAGTTTCATTAGAATTTGTTCAGCGGTTCACAAAATATTCAGCAGAGTGAACAACTTCTTTCTTCACAACATAAAACCAGATGAAGAAGGAGTGAGTCCCCACCCCCACCCCCCACCCCCCAGAGGCGAGCTTCAGACAAACAGCGGGGCTGGATGAGAAACTTGAGAGAGGGCTCGCTCATCAAAGCCCGCAGAAGGACCGAGGGAGGCGGGAAAAAAGAAAAAGAGAAGAAGAGGGGGATCAAGGTGCTCTGATCCAACCAAGCCCCGAACACAACACGCCGCTCCAGCTTCAAACGCCAAAGACAAAAAACATGGCAGAGACCCGAGACTGCGTTATTTACCAACAGCTGCTTCTCACCCTGCAGAACGTTTCACGCGCGTCGTACAGGAGGACGGTGGCCATATGTTCAGAAATGTGACGTGTAAACAAAGGAAACAAATTCTGTTGTTCGGAACGGTTTCAGTGCAGAGCTCAGATGAAACAACAACCAATATGGTGATAAAAAAGAAAAACATCAACTCTAAAGTTTAAATTTAAATTTCACACGTGCCCATTTATGACGCCGCAAAGCTTCAACCTTTAACGGTGCTCGATGTAAAAAAAAATTGCGTAAATCATAAAAAAAAAACGTCGTCCTGAACCCTGTTAAATGATGCAGCTTGAAAGAGTTCACTTTCCAGATAAAACAAATATATGCAACCCTGAAATGCAGGTGCGCGCTCAATGTAAACAAAGCACTTTAATCTGCAAATGAGCGTAAATAGATGCCGTCACGTCAAAATGCTCAGACTTCTCGAATCCAAACAGCTCTTCCATGGACGTGACCTATTTTCAGTCACTCCAGCTGTTTCTGGAGGTAAACAAATGCACGTGGAAGTTAACAAATGGGCACAAAATTTGCTTACAAGTTTTAAACTTGACGACACATTAACCATCAATTGGAGCAAATGATTGTGTGGACTTTGTTTTGGATTAAACAGATTTATTCGACCGGTCTTCTTGGCTTTGTAATGAGATCCTTCGTGTCACGCTGCTGCCAATAAGAAACCCCCATCAGATACAATTAAAATGTGTTTACATCCGTTTTCATACAGAAAAGCTTCCAACTGTTACCTTTAAGGATCATGGGGTCCTTGCCCTCCCTCCTCAGGGACTCCAGGACCACATGCAGAGGCTGCGAGGACGTCAGCCGGCTCGGATCTGTGGTGTTCTCGTCGTAAACCACAATGTCTTTGGAAAAAATGCCCTTGAAGGAGTCCTTCCCCTCACGGCAGGAGATGAGGTCCAGCACAGTGATCTTGCCTTGCTGTAGCCGCCGCCGGCTGATCTTGTCGGAGCAGTTGATGTGCACGGCCTCGCGGATGTGGCTCTTGTTGTACTCCATGAAGGGCCTGCAGTCGATGATGACCGGCACAGGCCCCACGGGGTGCCCCAACGGGCAGCAGCTCATCCGCTTGGCCAGCTCATGGGGGTGGATGACCCTTAGGGTGGACAGGACCTTTGGTGTGCCCGGGGTGAGGCTGGGGGCACTGAGCGCTTCATGGTTGCTGACCATAGCGGCGGGAGGCCCGGCATAGCTGAGGTTGGGGCTGCTGGCGCTCACCTGGCTGTGGCTGAGGCTCTGGCTGTCCTTCTCATAGGTAGTCACAGAGCAGCAGCTGGCACTGCTGCATCCACACGACAACGAGCGCGTGGAGCCCTTGGATGAGGGCATATACGTTACAAGATTGGCCGTCGCCCGGATCTTCACCACGGTGGTGCTGATGACGGTGCTGCTGCTGCTGCTGCTGGTGATGGAGTCCAGGTAGCTGGTGTCCAGGCGCAGTTGGAGTTCCTGAGGTCGGATCGGCCTTGGCAGCGCCACCACAATTCTGTCGTCAAGGGGAGATGGAGGCATGGGGAGGCCGAGGGCTGGACGTATATGGAGAAGTCAACAAGCCGCTCTGTGGAGACGGAGATCAACAAAAACATGAAAACAGCCGAAGCAGAACCATCTGCCCTGCCAGAGAGCTCACACAGGCCGACCTCGTGTGTGTTGGATCAACAGGCAAACTATAGACTGCTGAAGTCAAATATTAGCACTGTCAACACCTGCTGGGCTGCACCTGTGGGCGGTGAGAAAATTTAAGACACGGCCACTAATAATAAACTGTGAAATCACCCGAGTGTGTCCTGGATCTCATTAAATGGGGGATTATATATATCAGCCATTCCTTCAGCTTGTTAAGATTATGGGTGCTGTGATTTTTTAAATATTGAACTTTTTTTCTTAACAAATATAATGTTCATAAAAAATACATTCAAAAGCGCTTAAATTTCTTCAAAACCATTTTTCTTTTCAATCTACCTTAGCATACAGGTTTATGTCTTCTACTTGAAGCTTATAGCTACTCTGCAACTTTTACATGCTGTCTAGCCGTTAGCTAGCCTACTTATAGCTAGCTATTTTGTTAATTGCACTTTAAGCTACTTTTAGCTTTTTTTTTTTGGCTAGCCCTCTGCTACTTTAGGCTTTTACCTTGCAATTTGTCACTGGAGGCCGAGATGGGGTAGAGGCACGGCAGCCGACCTGGGACCCAAAAGCCCCAGGCTCGACCCCCCAGCCATCATGTCGTGGTCTCTCTGAGCAAGACACCCAATGCCTAACTGCCCCCCGGGGCGCCTATAGCTGCCCACTGCTCCACCTGGGTGTGATGGGTTAAATGCAGAGAGCTAATTTTGCCATTGTATGGGAACATACAATAATGACAACACATAGCATTTTATTATTTTATTATTATTGCTTTTACCTAATATTTTTTATCTTTTAGCTAGCATTTTGCGGCTTTCATATTTTGCCTTATGTTTTATTCCTTTCACGTTTTAAATCACCATTTTGCTACTTGTAGCTTTTATTCATGTTTTGCTCCTTTTGGCATTTTGCTACTTTTAGCTAGCATTTTACTCCTTACAGTTTAGCTTGTGCTCTGTTCCTTTTAGCTTTTTTTTGCTGCCTTTAGCTTTAGCCTTGATGCTTCTTGCAGCTTTTAGCTACTGTTCTGCTCCTTTTAGTGTCAACAACTCATTTTCAGCTTCTTCAGCACATTGGATTTAACAGAGGATGCTGTTTCTCCAGTATCCAGATCGTTTGTCTGGGAGTGATGCTGACTGTTTCACATCAACTCTGATTTAAATTGTTTAGAAGAGGTGAAGGTGGGAAAAGCAGAAAATACTGCATTAAAACGCCCCGCCTCAGTTTAGTCTCACACACAGAACAAACAGATGGAAGCTCCTTATAACCAGAAGGATTTTGTCCTTTTTTTTAATGTCACATGAGAATACAGATCCGTCCCGGCCTGGCTGCCATCCTGTCAGCAGCTTCAGCACAAAACATCATTCATGGCCAAATTCATTGAGGAAACCGGCATGGGGACGTGCCGAGAATGTGATGTGCTCCAGATGAGCTGCGGACTGAAGGAAATCCAGTTTCACACCAGTATGTCACAGAATATGATAATAAACACAGGCCGTGGGTCTGAGGAGGCAGGGGTTTGAACTTTGTCGCAATAAAACACAGAGAAATAATAAAAAACACGCAACATGGTTGCGGCATTTTATCCCTTCATTATTTATAAACGCGTCCAGTCCTTCGGGTGCGCTTTTTCACAGCAACTTGTCGGACAACTTGTCTAAATATTAGCGCTTACCGGTGAGTGTCGCTCCTCACTGTAGACGGATTTGTTATCTCCCCCTGACAGCTGACAGCGTTGCCTCCATTCAGTCCGTCCCAGTGTTGTGGCTCGGCAACATTTTTTCGTACTTTTACCCAGCTCGCCCCCCCTCAGAAATAATACTGAAAGAAGCCGAGCAGCCTACAGAAGTCGCGCAGCGGAATTGACGCGACTCTGAGCCAATGCGCGGCTTCATTAATATTAAACGTGTTCCATCGCCAACAGCCAGGCCCCGCCCCCGAGGTGGGAGGAGCCCGCATATGCCGCGAAGGGAGGGGGGAGGGGGAGGAGCACACTCAAGAACACGAGGAGGGATGATGTCACTGGCAGCCAATAGAAAGACTCTCCAGGAAGCTCTAAGAAGAAGACGAGGCGCATTCAGGTGCAGCTCGTAAACTCTTTTTTAAAAGATGGAGTCTCACCGTGTGATATATTTAAGACTAAAAGCAATTTAAACTAGTTTTTTTTTTTTACAACACTTAACTCGGACTTAAAATCATACTAATGACAGCTAAAGTCTTTTATAGTATTTTAAATACTGGATAAACATTAATATTTCAAATACAATATATTATTGATATATATTATACTTTGTATGATATATTATTATATTATATGATATAATAGTATTATTAGATCTTATTACTGTTTTTCTTTTACATTTTATTGTTGGATGTAACTGGGACCTTGTGTGCATAATCTCGTTCCACCACATGTACCACATGAGGTGTGAATGACAAATAAATCTCTGAATCTGAATTATTTAATTATTGTTGATGTTTTTGTTATGTTAGGTTTTTTGATATGAAAAAAAAAAGTTTTGACATTATGCTTCATGCTGTATTTTTTTTTTACATATTTAAAAAATAATAAACTAAGCAAAAGTTTTAACATAATAAAACTAGTCTTTAAAATTTTCATTTTGTTATGTAATTGTGTGTGTCAGTGTGTAGTTTTCCTGACTGTTAGCAAAATAGCTCATAAACTATAAGGCACATTTTAATGAAACTTTAAGGACGTAAAGAATTGACATTGATCAACATCTGATTAACTTTTGGATTTAAGGTGACGTCACAGCTAATTAACAGCAAACACAAGAATGGCTACTGTAATGCTGTAATCTCTACTGTAAGATTGTGTGAGATTTTTTTTTTTCGAAATCAGTACACTTACTGTATATTTATGGCAAAGAGAACAAAATGTCATCTGTGTTTTGTTTGGACACTTTGTTCAAACATTTGCTTGACTCATGCAGAGGGATTTCAACACATGCATTCAATTCTTTGACCTTTTTTGAATTTTTCGAATATTCTGTGTACTAAAAGTCCACAGTTGTTCAACAACTCCACTGAATGTTTGTTTAATGAGCTTGGTTAGACTTGTTGAGATTTCTGTGTCCCGATAACGGGTGTTATAAGTAGATTAGCTGTATTTGACGTTAAGAGCCTCATTGTTGGTGTTTAATTAGTGAACAGTCGATTAAATATATAAAAAAGCTGTATTGCATAGTGTGTGTAGTCACTGTTGTGCATTTCTTTGTGAAACTCGTGCAAACTAAATTGGCTCAAACATTTTGAAGATGGAGCGTTGGCAAACGAAGACATCAAAATAAATATGGTGCAGATCCAGATTACTCTCCTAAAAAAAATCAAGATGAGGATTTGGCCCTAATGCAAGCCTGTATTTTCCAAGAGCCTTATTATTTTTTATTTGCAACTCCAATTTGCTTGTATGAAAGACAAGCTTAAGAATTCTCTAATATTGCAGTAGAGCTTAAATTAGCCTTTGCTTTATTGTCTTTGGTTATATTTTTATCAGCATAGTTTTGTTGGTCTTTTCTGTTCGACAGCACATGTTCTTTGTATTGTTCCATCAAAATAAAATAAATTTTAAAAAACAATTTCCAGTTGTTAATAATAAAGATAATATACTTTAAAAAGCACTGTGCCAGCTGAGCTGATGTTATGCAGTATGTCATCATATAATCATCTTTTTTAGATGCGGGTGGGGACATTTGACTCACACTTTTATGACAAAGAGCAGGTTTGTTTTTGTTAAGATAAAAAAATCAAGGTTTCTTTTTCCTGAGTAGACAATCTCTCTCCTGACAGTAGAAATGATGATACCCTTGGTGTGTAGCAGTAATCATGAAGAAGCAAAACTAAAGTAAGACGACACAATTTTCTCAATGAGAAGACAGGGCAAAGGAGAGCCCTCCTGCCCCGACGGGACACTGGCAGCTGGATACACAATGGACTCCTGGGGGAAGTGGAAGATCGTGTGTCTGTCCATTTTGTCAGTCGAGGATGCTGAAGATGTGTACATAATTGGATTTATGGTAACAGGATTTCTGCTTTTTGGAGTTGGTGTTTATATGGTATATCGACAAATTCGGAAAACGTCGGCAACTGTTCTGGCCATTGTAAAGCTGCCTGGCATGTATGAAGGAATGTGCTGTGCCGTCAACACTCAGACTCAAATGCTGTGCGAGCTGAGCTGTAAGCTGGACACGATTCCTGCTGAGAATGGCAGGCTACTTGCAGCTCCTGAATCTCGCTGGCGGGAAGGAATAACTCTTGGAGAAGTTGTAAGCTTGACTCGGCGTATGTGACCAATTTGGATGTTTGGAGCCGCCATTGAAATGTACTAGTGAGACAGTAAAAGACAGACAGAAATTAACAGAACTTGGCCTGACCCAAAACAAATGTTGCTACCTGAATCTGCCCCCCCACCCCCAAGGACATGGACTGTGTCAGAGCTGTGCCGAGCCCACTGAAAAAGACTGCACCATCACTTATCAGGACTATGGCTGGAGGGGGGTGGGGGATATCTGGACAGTGTTCACAGACTACTTCCCCTCAAATTTACTGCCTTTGCTGGCCCCCCTCCCCCCCCCCCCCCCCCACACACACACACACACACACACAGCAACCTAGGTAGATCCGAATGCACCAGGTGTGTCACTCACTTGGGTGGCCTGTGCTGGGACCCCGACCCTCACCCACTCCACATGCATATGTCTTTGTCACCAGTATATTGTTTTTTCTTGTGTTCAGGTTTTTTGTAAGTGTGAGATATATATTTTTACCCACTCTTTACTCATGTTTTTCCCTTTTCCTTATCTAAACGAAAAGGGCAGTGCTTCCCATGAGGCTGCAGCCTCAGGCATTTCCGTCTACCCATGTTTGTTTTCTTTGGATGGTTGTCTGAAATGTAATTTCGTTGTGCTTCTGTGCAATGACAATAAAGCTAATTCTGATTCTGACAAGTGAGCTGTATGTAAAATGAGGAGGAAATACTAATAAGTAGGTGCATTAAGCAGCAGGACTGTTTAGCAAAGTGCCAAATTGGATAACAGCACAGCCCCAATAACAAGATCAATGTTGTGGTGAAAGGACCTCGCTGGCTGCAAAGCCCAAATATAATCCCAGCACTCCATTTATCCTCGCAGGCAACCTGAAACAACACGGGGCATGTGTTACACTTCTATTATTAGGTCTCTGTGCAGTTATTTATAAATGGACACAGCTGATTCCAAGTGACCTTTGTTTCACAGTGTGTTAAAGGGTGAGAGAACAAGCAGAAGACACTCAGAAGTCCATGTTTTTTTATTTTTTTATTCTCTGGCACTCTGAGCTCAGATAAAAATAATGCAAATCCTTACATGCATGTAACTTTTATTTGAGTTTTGCTTTGCACTGTGTCATCGTGGAGGTGTGCGACCTCAGTCAACTTCTGTTTGTAATATGACAATGACTCCATGCACTCATCCAGTCAAAAAGAGGCATAATTGTAAACAAATATTAAGAATAAAGTGGTTTGTGGCAGAAAGAAACCCTAACCTGCTGTATCACTATAAAAATACGCTGAAAATCACAGTTGTGAATAAAATATAATGAGTAGAAAACTGAGAAGTTAACTGAGAAACAGGAACTTAATTTGAGAGCTCTGCTGATAATTAAAGCAGCTGGCCTGAGCGTCTGCGTAACTCCCCCCCGTTCAGCCTGTGAGGCAGGTTTCATCAGCCTAAATGTTTAACTTTACAACTTGTTCCTCATAATAGGGAGCTTATGAGTTTGCAGAGGAAATAAAAATAGAAATGGAAATATATTTTCAGCTAAAGATCCATTTTCATAAAGCACATTTAAAAACAGCTGCTGTTTGACCCAAAGTGACGCACACAAAACAATAAACAGTAAAAAATAAAAGAATACCAAACACCAAAATTCATAAAATAAAATAAAACAATTAGGGCAGTTAAATTGATCTTGTCTCAGAGAGTACATATATG